CAAAGGGTTCCAGGCAAAGTAAGCAAGTCGATTAATGAGGTTGTGAACCTTAGTCGACTGAGGTGGCTCGGATGTGTATTACACTTCACATGTCCAGCCACCATCTACCACAATGTTCCATGCTAGGGGAAGTTCGATTAACATGGAAGAGGGTTCAGGGTGGTCAGAAGAAAATGCGGCACCAGTCGACAAAGTCCCTGACTGTTGGTCTGAATGATGTAGGGAGGTGAAGTCTGCCTGGTTAGGGTACCCGAGACTATCGGAATCAGTGGTTAGGGATTCTTGGTGACATGACTGGAAATCGGTCACAGTTGTGCAGATGTATTCACTCCTTGACCTCTTCGAAAGCTTGAATATTCACACTGACCTTTATCTTCAAATCGTTTATTCTCTCACACAATCTTATCTACTCTGATATCACTCCTTTTCTATTCACCTGTTGTTTGTATACTACTTTGAATTGTATTGACTTGAACCGATGCACTTGTGTGCGAGGTTCTACGTTGATTTTGTCTCTCTGTCCATCATATTTACTAGTAAAATTGTACAAGAAGTTATTTGCTGTTTTATAATACTCACTTATATGGTCTTCATCTCATTTTTGTTTGATGTCTAGAGACTGTCTGTGATGATACTCCTCACCTTCTTACTGTCCGATGCACAAAAGCTGCAAGTCAAGTCATTTATTTCAGCAGATGACACTTTCCAATAGCTCCTTAAAAAGGAATCAGCTAATGCAATTTTCCCTTCCACTGTTTCAGAAAGTGCATTTCACTATCGTTTCCCAACCGAGTAACATGAGTTTATAAGTAATAGTGTTTGTAATAAAAAATATGACGATTCTTTTGTTGAGAAGCTGACACTGATATTGGGAGTTTATGTTAAACAAAATCCCATAGAACTAAAAGCGCATAAGATATGTAAATCAATAATGCAGGATAAAATAACAGCCTCTTGTAAGAAGATAGGTGCAATTATGTCTTCCAGTTTTTCGATCTGAAGCATACTGTCTACTACACACAATAATCAGCTTGATTGTATGTGCATATAAGTTATCAGAATAAATCTGTATTTAATGCTGGTCTCCGATTCATTGTGTAGTCAGCTGCATACCCACATCCATGCCTCTGCTAGCCTTAAGATGTTTTCTGGTTCGTTCATACAATTCATTGTAACAGAAATATAATCTGAATCATCATAATATTTATAACAACTCGGAAGGCTGTATGCAAATATCTTGGTTGTATTGTGTTCTGTGAGCTCGGTTGTTTAGTCGTCGAGCTTTCATCGTCTTTCTAGACAACATCATCAGCACTAACTTCCGTATGAAGTGAGTTGTCAATATCTCTCCGTGAGCTATTTAGTAGCTTGCCCTGACGATCTGGTTTGTGATTGCTTGTTTCCTTTGGTTTTTGTGTCATAGACTGCACAGATTTACCTGTTGGCTGTTCCTCTGTCTGATCTCCGTCCTTTCTGTCGTTGATCATTTTCCTCATTGGTTGACAGATTGGGTCTGTATCCACACATCTATTGATTTCTGACTGACCTGAACGCCAAGCTTCTAGGAATTCTCTGATATTCTTTGTGTTTCCTCTCTCCCTCCAGAATTTCTATATTGTCCAGGTCAAATTCATGTCCATAATTATCCACGTGCATTGAAGTCAGTAATGAAATGACTTGGCGTTTAATAGCCAGTTGGTGTTCATGTAGAGGGAGGGGAAGAAGACGACCACTTTATCGAATGTAGTGTTGACTACAGTTATTGCAGTTGGTTTTGTAAATGATGTGCAGTTGGTTGTGGCATCCTTGGGTCTGCATACTAGTGTTTGGATGGAACTTGTTGGTTTATGAGCCACACAAACCCCAAGTGGTCTCAGTGATCTTGTCTTGATTTCTGATATATTCTTTATGTATGGTAGAGTGATGCGTTTGTTGATTTCTGTCGATGACTTTGTAGTTGATGGTGTACGGGATAGGCATCTTCTGATCAAGTTCTGTGGGTAGCCGTTCTTCTTTAGGATGGGCATCAAGTACTTTTCTTCGTTTCTCCGTGAAGTTGTAGTACTGCAGTGTGTTTTCGCTCTTTTGAATCGAGTTTGCAAGCAGCTAATTTTGTTCCTTGTTGGGTTGTTGCTATTGTAGTTGAGGATTTGGTCAGTGTGTGTTGACTTCCTGTACACTTGGGTTTCCAGCTTTCTGGAATTTGTCCTACTGACTAAAACATCCGGGAATGGTAGTTGGTTGTTTGGCTCCTTGTCCATTGTGAAGTTGATATCACTGAAATCTCTGTTGATCGAACTGTAAGTGTTTTCTATATCATCTTTTTTAATGATGACAAAAGTATCGTCTACATAGCTAATCCAAATTTTCGGTTTGATCACAGGTAGAATGATGACTTACAGTCTCTGCATCACTGCTTCTGCAATTAGTCCGGATATCCGTGACCCGATGGAGTTCCTTTCATCTGTTTATATATCTTGCCGTTGAGTTGGAATTGTGTTGTCAGGCAAAGGTCAATGAGTTCCATCAAACTTGAACATTTAATTTTTGCTTTCTGAAAGGCTTGTGTCTTCATGGAGCAGAAGGGACATAGTTTCCTTGGCCATTTAGAGTTCGATGGAAGTGCATAGTGTACGTAAATATATTTATGAAAGGGGGTCTGTATTCAATAAATAGCGTGTTTTTCATTTCGCAAAAATCTAAACAATGAAGGCAGTTCCTTTTTCAGTTAAGTCGAGTTCGCTCAAATCGACAGTCTAATCATGGCTACAACTAAGGTAAGCATAGGTACTGTGAGACTAATTTAAGATGCACTTCGACGGTGTACAATCCTGAGAGCGCATACATTCAGATTTGACTACTCGACATGATGAAACCACTGAGGATAGTTATCAGTTACTCCTGAGAAATTGAAACTACACGATCAAAGATAACGTGGTACCGAGTTGATCAGCTACATGTGGTAACAAATTTTTAAAATGGAGTCAGAGAATTTTTTGACTGCGTATTCCATGAATTGTAGCATTTATATTTTCTCTATCTTGGTATCTACAATGTAGATTCAATGAAAATAAGTCAACGTATAAGTATTTTACTTGTGTTATCCTGGTAAAGCATGTTAGAACAAATAACCCAAATAAAGTACACCTTATACGATGAATCATACTAATTCGGTGCCCACGTTTTTCCTAAACATCTAGTCTAGTATTGGCTAGAATCATTCACATGAAAATAATGTTGGATTTTTGCTACACAACTAATCTGATGATTGTAAACGTGTAGTGACATTTCATTCCTGCAGTTAATTTGTGAAGAATTTGGTGAACCCAACATACTAACGACGAAACGGGTTTCAGGCTAGATGCAGTGATAACATTGTTTCGACAGTTACCGACAGAATATTGGTTTCAGCATAAGATAAACAGTAGCAACCAGATTATGAGTTAACTGACTTCTGACAGATAAATTAATGCCCACCTATGGACCCTAGGATCTTAAACTCGACCTTAGCCAAACTGACCTCTCAATGTTTGTCGCAAGAATACTTCACTCCCTTTTCATAGAATGAAATAATTATTTGTTTGGACCAGTGTAGTTGGACTACCTCTGATTTTCATGCTTTACCTGGTACTTCCATCACTCGATTCAGTACTTTCTTATCTGAATCCTTAAAAACTTCTGGTGGCAAACCATCAGATCCTGCTGTACTGCATCTCTTCAGATTTGAAACAGCTTTCTGAACTTCGGCGAGAGTTGAAGGACCAAAATCCATATCTCATTCAGGTGCGGGCTGGATGTCGGGCAGGTGAAGCATTACTTTGGACCAGTTAAACTGCTTCAAAGTGGTTCGCCGACTGTTCTGAAGGGTTACAAGTGACACATCCTTTTCACTGATGATCTCACCCATCGTCATCTTTTTGCCAATATCCGTAATATACATACATAAATGTTAAGCATTACCTAACGTAGATGTCTTCTCCACCTCACTTTCACCATCCACAAATGTTTGCGGTCATTACGGAGACTCTTCGTCAATTAACTTTTGAATTGCTTTCGCTCGTCATTCAGGCCAGAGCCAGCTAAAATTATTCTTCTTGTATTGATCAGTTCGGTGACTTTGTGGAAATCCACTGGCTTCTACTAATCTTTTGATGTAGCTTACCAACTGTCATTACCGTTAACAGTTTCTTGATACAATCAACTAGGATTTCGCTTATGTGACAAAATGTCTGTTTCCGACGCGTTTATCAACGGTGACTAGTTAATTCTACAGCAAGAACAGAAGGAAGCTGACATAAATTTTGAATTTTCAAACTTACTGACCAAGTTGTGAAAATAAGCTGACACATGGGTGACAATGAGGAGAAAGAACGAGAGTTCGGATATCGGTTGTTAAACAATTTACCTCTCAATCAATTCATTGGGACGCAAGTTATTTGATGTTCAGTCGAACTTATTACTCACAATTTCTCACATGTATTTATGCTCATATGACTTGGCATATCAGCAAAACTGTGAGAACATTACATTTAAGAGATATTCAGCTATATTGTTGTAATTAAAGGGCTTTGTCCTAAATTCAGCGGTTTATCATAATACTCATTGTTATTAAGCAGCACAGTGTGGTTACATAAACTTCTAAGGGACATCAATTCTGGATACACTTCTGTTCATTGAATTGTCATGTGTAGCTGTTCTGAAATGAGTGGAGATTCATTTGTCTGAAATTAGAAGAAGCTTTCCTGCCAACTATATGCTTTTTCTTTGGATATTATAAAGACAGTTAAGTGTATCATGTATTTAAAAAGTTTGGTTACGCAAGGAAAAGACATTTAAGAGAGGAATAAATCTAATAAATTTCACTTTCGCATCCAGTGAATGACAAACGAGAAAATGATAGAAAGTCTAAGAGTTTTGTTCTACATATCATTTCTTTTTTGATAATGATGATTTATCAATTCAGCTCCATAACATAACAATTAAGATGAGGGTAATAGAGCTTATAACCTTGAATTAATTGATTTCCTCTCTTCAGCAATATGATTCTGCTGAACATACTCTAGAAATTCATCCATCAATAACTTTAGCTGAGCAACATTTTTCGTTGAATCGCCATCTGGATCATAAATTGGTTCTTGTTGTTGTGTTATTATATTGTTCAAAAATGTTTTACCCCATGATGTTTTATGCAAGCCAGTCCATAAAATAAACTGAACTGTTATAAACTGTGTGATTTCATGGTCATCAGATTGCAGTGTAATATCTTTAAGGACACTGTGGAAACTTTCATCCAGTATAGCTATAAACATACTAACCATTACAAATACAACGCATAAAGAAAATGCAGCAAAAAGCAATGGACCCAATACCATTTCTCTTTCATACATACTAGTGAAATCAAATTTGCCAAGAATAATTTGCATACTTGTCTCTATGGCATTTAAAATTGTCTTAAAACCATCCAGTGTATCAGTATACAATAGATAGAAGACTAGAACGAATGAACAAAACACAACCAGAAATATAAAGCAAAAATGTTTTAAATCATTCGCCGCATATTTGAGAACAGAGCCCAACAGACCAACGCGTTGATTAAACCGAAATAGATTTACAAGCTTTAACATAGCGAAAAAGCAAATTACAGACGTTAAGTAAGTTAAATTTTCATTCCAATAGGCCAGTAGTTGAAAATTCATAAATATAAGACCATTTGTACGTGAAAATTCGTCGATAGCTGTTTTTGTGTATATTATCATGTAAATATAGGCAGCGATAGCAGCTATTGAGCCGAATATAATAAATATCTCAACAAAATTCCAAAATCTTTTGAAGTATTTCAACCGCTGTTTGAAGATGTTTCGTATTTCTTTTATTAAGTAACAGAACAGGATGACTATATACAGAGCCTATTTAAAAAAAGGAGGAAAACAGTAGTTATATACTTTTCATTTGGTATTTGTAAACAAAAAAGTTATGAATTTTCCATACCCTATCCATTAGTAGATAACCTGACATTGTAGATGCCTACCAGAATGATCTACATGTAGGTATTAACAACCATAGAAAGAAATGTATTTTTGCGCCTCGTTAAATTCGAAATTATAGTGTTTCATTTTCAGGCAGGTGTCTTCGCATCATTGCTCGCGTTTGATGGGATCACCGTGTGACCAATGTTGAGGTCAGACAAAGGGTTCCAGGCAAAGTAAGCAAGTCGATTAATGAGGTTGTGAACCTTAGTCGACTGAGGTGGCTCGGATGTGTATTACACTTCACATGTCTAGCCACCATCTACCACAATGTTCCATGCTAGGGGAAGTTCGATTAACATGGAAGAGGGTTCAGGGTGGTCAGAAGAAAATGCGGCACCAGTCGACAAAGTCCCTGACTGTTGGTCTGAATGATGTAGGGAGGTGAAGTCTGCCTGGTTAGGGTACCCGAGACTATCGGAATCAGTGGTTAGGGATTCTTGGTGACATGACTGGAAATCGGTCACAGTTGTGCAGATGTATTCACTCCTTGACCTCTTCGAAAGCTTGAATATTCACACTGACCTTTATCTTCAAATCGTTTATTCTCTCACACAATCTTATCTACTCTGATATCACTCCTTTTCTATTCACCTGTTGTTTGTATACTACTTTGAATTGTATTGACTTGAACCGATGCACTTGTGTGCGAGGTTCTACGTTGATCTTGTCAGATGATAGTGTTTCATCTGTGATAAAAAGCGTTAGTCGCAGCTTAATAAATTACGAAATATAGGCATTTTCTCTAATCAAATTACTGATACGATAGAGAAAAGAAATATTCTCATCTATACACGAACAATTAGGAAAAGAGGGAATAACACATATCTTTATGAATAACCTTCAGAAGACAATGCTTAAACATGCAAGTGAAGAAACGATGTCGTATTTCAGATATGTTGAGTACATGTTTATCGCGTGCAGCTACCTACGTTATGCATCTGACTCACTAAAACTCTGAAGTGATACTCATGAAAATATCACGTCCACCATGGAACATGAAAGCGATGACAGTTTCAACTACTTAGGTGTTACGTTGCAACGTATAAATGGTGGCACTCTTCAAGGGTTCATTCAGTGCAAGAGTACATGGAATGGGCTATGTCTAAATTTCAACAGCTGTTATCGAATTAATTTTCAACAAACTTTGGTAAAAACGCTATTTTAAAGAGCTAGAAACAGTTGCACTGAAATGGACTTATCCTGCAGCCAAGTTCATCCCTGTTTACAAAACAAAATGCCTCTCGGTATAATCCCATGTTACCTATAATTATGTTTGCAAGTTTACGTGCATCTATGGTAGCAGTTACATCGGGAGGACAGAGGAAGAGCATACCTTAGATTCTTTGAACACGTAGCAAAATGCCTACATCTCAGTAGTGCAATTATTCAGCATCTTATCAACACAGGAAATGAAGTGGATAACTTAGAATCCTTCAGGGTGGCCAACCTTCTCAAGTTCTCTACGGTTATAATGATCAAACAACTGAAACTGGAATAACGTGTGTTCAGAAAGAAGCAGTGATATGTCTTTCTTTGCCTTGATGACCTATTATTTTATTCTTTTTCATATTTGATAATATCATCTTTTGACTGAACATTTTTCCGTTTGTACAAAATCTTGATGATCTTTTTGCCAGTTTAATATAGGTCGTTATTTTGTTGCATTATTATAGTATTATTAGTCCCTTGGGTTCCTAATGGAACATACGGCTTCAGTAGCACGTCTCCATTCCACTCTGTTCTCTGAAATCTTTTGAACCTGGCTCCACGACAGCCCACAAGCTCTCATTTCCTCCTCGCACGACCTCCTCCATGTCACCCTCACCTCGGACACCCAACTCGTCGCTTCCCATGGGGATTCCACTCGAGTGCCTGGCCTGACGCGTGATGTCCCCAGTCGGCCTTCTCAGTGTATGCCCAATCCATCTCCACTTCCTTCCAGTGCATATTTGTTGCGTCATAGGTTCTTGGTTGGTTCGTTCCCAGAGTTCCTTGTTGCTTATTCTTTCTGGCAATCCATCTGATCTTCAGTAGCGAGCCAGCGTAAGCAGTTGTTGATGAATGTCTGTAGTTTATTGGAAATCCTTTCGTAACGCGCCAAGTCTCTGAACCATACAGAAGCACTGACTTGACGATGGTGTTGAAAATCCGGATCTTGTTCTTTGTGCTGAGTGCCGAAGATCTTCACACTGGTTTCAGGCTAATGAACGCCTGTCTTGCTATCTTTCCGATCCTGGATGGCTTTGACATCCTCGTCTGTGCCGCCTGTAGTTGAAACGGTGCTACCTATATTTTGTTGCATAATTTCTGCTAACGTCAACAAAATTAATTCCTAATCTTCTAACTTATTGTTTTATTACGATTTATATCATTTTCTTGAACTTTTTGTTAAATCAAACATAAAACTGAAACTTCTTAACATTTCTTGTCAGCTTCATCTGGATGTTTGTATTCCTCTTTAAACCATGTTGTTCTCTGTTAAAAAGATTCGGTTAGCTGCAAAAAGTGTGTTAACTTTCTTTTTGATATGATATTTAAGTGTTTTAGGTTGTAAGCGGTTAACAAGAAACCCGATAAATAAAATAGTACTGTATTATTCTGCTTCAGTCGTTCAGAAGAGAAGTCAAATCAGCTACCCTGTTCACACCAGTGCAGTAGACAATAAGTCATACCTATTATGTTGAGGCTAGTGTTGCTACCTGGCTGCTGAAACCTCAATAGGTGGAGCAGCGCTCGAAATGCAACACTGTGCCACAGCTCTAGTCGTTGCTCTTTCATAAAGGGTAGTTTGTGAAAGAATACCTTTTTAACAGTCGCTATCAAATTTTATAGTTCTCCTTTGAGAGAAATCCACTTCAGAGAAGCTTACTGTAGTAGTCTCTTAGTTTGTCGGTCAATAATAAGCCAAATTAATGCAATGACTTCTTTTGAACTTGCTAACCAGTCTTCATTGACTTTGTCCCATTACATTTTTGATGTCAGATTATGTTGACTTCGCGAAGTTGTAGTTAAATTAATTGTATGAAACGATATTGTTTGGAATCCATTGTGGCCTTAGCAAAACTGTCTACATATTTATTATATACACATATATATTTCTGAGTGAAGAGGTGTGGTATTTACACCATCACTTTGCAATAGAGTAGTTTGAGTTCAGTGTAACATTCATGTAAAAGTACTTCTTTGAACGGTACACGACAGCATACTGATTATGGTCCCTGTAATATATACGTATGTGATGAAGCAACTTTCTAAAGGAACATATTGTCTGTAGGCAGAACGATGATAAATGGTCTTACCTGAAACGTGATTTGTGTATTCTTAGTCTCCGATCCCATTGCTCCGAATAAGTTAGCCGTTTCAATACGATATGTTGGTAGAAGGGCACCGATACCAGGCAGTTCAATTAGAACAGTAATAATTCCAAACAAATTGATATTTGGACTGTATACTGTAAACTGTATGATTATGGCTCGTGTTGAAAATTCAATCCAGTGCGTTTCCTTTAAAGTATTCAGTCTTTCCAGCATTTCATCTTTTGTACCTCTTAGTAGATGAACATAACCACCTCCAGAATACCATGTGATTTGCCCCATATAAGGATAACCTTTTAGTTGTGATGCAGTTTGATAAACATACTCTGGTGCAGAATTATTGGACTTCTCATCACCTTGAAATTTAACCCATGATACTCCATACGTTTCTTCATCCTGATTAAACATATCATAGGCTCCATAGCAACGTTTGAATAAATGTGTAGCCGAGTGATATACATTGCATAAACCTGTTTCAATGAAGAACAGATTATGTCAAGTGATTCATAGATGAAGCAAGATAACAGCTAAATAGATAAATATAAATCCTTAGTTTTTATATGGTGACAAATTTTCTAAACCTTTGAGAGACGAACATAGAGACTATGAAGTCGAGGAAATGAAATGTCATCTTTGCAATCATTTTTCTTTAGCACATGTAATCAGTTACACGGTAAATTCAATTCACAGGTTATTGCGTGAGCTGCTTTTTGTAGCATCCAAAGCAGGATCGTTATTTCTAATAGTAAAAGTATTTTTTCATTCAGATCTAGGAATCAAAGCATAAATGTCAACTACGTGGTACTTGCTGTTAAACCCAATTAAGCAAGGTTTATAAGTATTAACTTCTCATTACCATTCTATAAGGACCAGAGAAGAACTATGATTTCTTCCTCATTACAGATATAGATATACAGAACCACTGAAAGTATTTTCCATCATGTAAAACGAAAACTAGTCTTTTATTTATCACACACTAATGTAATCTGAGCTTAAGGAGCGATCACTCGATTATCCACGGAGGTAATCTTTTCTGCCTTGATAGATTTCTTAATAGTGGTTTTGTAGTTAGACACCCCTCAGCTTTTACTGATTTTTATTCATGAAGAGAACTAGGATGATGGCGAAGAATAGATATTCAACTCAGTGATGTACTTCGTTTAGCATCAATTAGTTAATGTAAATTGGCAATGTGACTTGCGTCTAAGTTCTTAGCCTGTTAGTATTTATTAGAGAGACCCTTCTGCAGAATTCATAATCCCCTAGTGAATCCAGTCCGTGTTGTGCTGAGTTTTGCAACAATACTATTGATGAGTTTGATTGTGTAAATAAAGTTCAACCTAGATGTTAATCAGTGTCGCTGTAAGTCTGTCTGCTAAGAAATGCCAAATTGATAATAAGATGTGACTTGATAACACAGTACATCCGGGTCGATCCCCCTACTATTACTCCTGTATTCAATGTGTAGATAATTTCACCTAGTAAGAAATATTTTATTCCCAAGTTGTCGTTCAATCATTCATATATATTTAGACATACCTGGTTTTGTTCTAAGCTGTCTCATCATTGCATAACCAATTATTCTATCAGCTCTGTCTGCCAAGAAACCTCGTTGAAACAGAGGTGGATTACTATTATACCAACGAGCTACACGAAGACCGGGAATTAAAACTTCACCAGCCCATTTATAGAAGTCATCCACCGTGAGCATCTGTCGAGAGAAGTGAGAAATTTCATAAAAAGAATGTAGGTCAATGACTTGTTATCAAAGATGTGCTTTGTTACTCCCCTGAACCTTTGGTTGCAACTACTAAAATGATACTGGTAAAAGTGAATTTTGCTTTTCTCACTGCAGTGCTGCTGATTGTGTTATTTATTCAGTATACTGCTTAGGCGTTCTGGTGGAAGCGGTCTTAGTATTTTGAAATATATAGCTTATACGGCATGTGGTTTTCTTGAACGGAAGCCTACATATTACCCAAAATTTTATTTTGATGTTATTTGCTTAGTGATGGGTAGAAGTGGAGCCCATACATTAAATAATGGTAACTAGTATTCTAATCAGTGGATCCTAATCCAGTAATCCACTCTAACTACTAGATTTTTAGTAGACAAAGAGTGATCCAGCTTACACTGATGTAATTCACAGCCTGAAAAACGAGTTGTTCCTGGTTCCTCAGAAGTATTCTTACTGTTTTCTGTGTTGCTTTACTGAACACCAGTAAGCAATATGGTTAGTTACCTCACTGACAAGGTACTCTCAGAGTTGTAGTCTATTGAATCTCATTCAAAAATAACAACATTAAAGTTAAAAGCAACTTACGTTTGTAAAGCTATCCTGGAAAAAGGAATTTTCTAAACTGGATTTTAACAGAAATGCATTGGGATCACGAAATTCTATACTGACTACTAACAGTAGTATGAGAAAGAAGACATACAACACAACTTCTCGAATGATGTCATTTGCTTTGCGTTGCTTAAGTCTGTAGGCTCGAGCACGTGCCAAGTCTGATGGATCTGGAGGTAGGATCAATGAACGACGTGGACAAAAATCTGCAAACACTAAAAGTAAAGAAGTCCCATAATTACTAACGAGGAAACGGTATGACTATGTGCAAATTACTTTTGGGTAATTATGACAAAGATATATGATAGGGAAATCCTGTCGTTCCAGGTAATCGATAGGGAGCAGTTCACCTGGATTGAGTCAGAATAAGAACTAAGTCTAACCTCAGAGGGACAGTTTTCTTGAAATTATAGTATGTGTAATACAGTTGAAGAAGTTACCAACATTATCGTGAACAAAAAATACGAGTTTTACATGGCTTATGACAAAAATGAAACTTGTAACTGCGCTTCGATATCCATTCCTTAGAGCTGCATAGCATATAAATTAGCGCTCAGGTAAACTGAGGATTCTAGGCACATCGTGTAGATAAGATTTGACATGGAACGAATTGTCAGCGTTGGTAGTATGTTTGTAACTAATATAACCAGTGATTTCGTAATTGTTGTTTACTGAAGCACTGCTTCATATGTTGCATTTTGCAAAAATTAACATAACTCGTTTCAGTAAACTTCAGTCAGGCAATAAAGGGTTGTACTGAAACTAAAAGTGTATGTTTAATGAGAAAAAATTGTACTTTATTCTTACGTGACCTTCGCTTACCTATCGGAACTATGACCCTTGTGAAAGAAAGAATTAGACTTGGTAATTACTTCTCTTTTTCATAAAGGGAAAAAAGACATTCATAGATATCTACAGAACACCGATGTAAAGCAGTCAGATAAATAAAGTTTACAGGCTCTACTCCGTGTACGGTCTTCAATATCCAAGATGAAGTATTCGCAGCGTAGATCCTGTTTAAGTGATATCGGACTTTCGTCTGAAAAGCTAGCAAGATGTTTCATTAAAGTATAAAAATAAGGGAAACGCTTAAGCATCTCCTAACTTCAGTGGTAACAATAGCTTATGCACGAAACCAAAGCACAAATTTGAATAGTCAACATATAATCTCTAAAGTGAACCCTCAATATAAGAAGTTGAACTGATATCTGTAAGCCTCTAACTTCTTTCAGTATATATTAGGTGGTCAGCATTCTCATTTGATTGCTTAAATGTGGAACTTTGAAACAGTGGAGAGTATTTGTAGCTCAGGTGAAACTTTCAACCAACATACTACCCTTAAGTGAGATGCGTTAGTAACAGTCACCTCTTTTCACCATACATACAACAGCATTTTCAGGTTAAATTCTCTGGAAACTTGATGTACCATCCTCGGTGCTGTTGCAAGTAATCTTACTAACTTAATTTTCGTTGCCTACCTTCAAATATCTAACCTATATACGAATTTATAGCCTAGCGAAGCGATTCACTTGATGAATACCTTGCTTTCGATAATATTCTTATGGGCTGAAGTTCAGTCACTCAGATAAAGCAACTTGCTCCTTCATTTGCGGTGATAAGCTGACAGTTAGTTGCGATACTGAGTTTAGGCACTGTTAATCAATCCTTTTCTTGTGACTTAACACCGACGGTGAGTTACGTGGAAACTTAAAATTAAGAACTATTTTTATATTTTTGAGATGTAAGCTGATAAATATTTGTAAACCCTGAATAGTACAATTAAAATATGGGATTTATGCAATAATATTACAGCTTTCCATAAAATAAGCATCACTTTGAAAGCATTCACATACAGTAATCATTGTGCAAGTATTCTTCATCCATTCGGAGTTCATACCGCTTGCCCAATGTTTGAATCAAGCGATTCTCTTCTTCCAATAGCTGTAATTGATCAACTCGATCAGGGGACTTACAAGCAAACGAAAAGAACATGGCCAACAACAGCACCTAGTAGATCGAAAAATTGATGTTAAAGTTGATCTTAGAAGTGAGTTGAAAACATCAGAAATAGTATCACCTACAGTTGGAGAATAATTTCTTAAAGTGGTGTTATTTCTTTACTCCTGTGCTCTTTTCGTTATTACACTACAGTTGACGTTTACAAGAATTTTTTATTAAAGTGGCTGAAAATGAAGTGTAAGTGTTGAGGTACTTAAATGTTTGGTCCTATGAAGACTTTTCTGAGGCAAGAAAATGACCATCAACTATTGGCAAACTAGTGTTTCCACCGTAAAAGGATGTCCTACCTAGTGCGTTGAAGCTGGAGCAGCAGCAATAATGGTAGTATTGATGAATGGATAAAACCTGTTAAGCTTTGGGTGATGTGCCTAGTTCGTCAGATGCCAACAGATTACTTCTATTATTCCTTACGAAAGTTTTGTCAAATAAACTAGTGTTGCTTAAGCCTTCAAACAGATTGTATAGTAATTACTGGTAGCACCGATTGATAAACCATAGTTAAGTGAAGGCTTCGGTTAGTTAGTTTAAGTTAATGAAACTAATGATCTTCGGCTAAACGTGGAAGCAAGTCAGCTCCACTGATGGACAGGAAAGTTCAAAGTTCATTAGTACTTGAATACGCGGTTACTTTAGCAAGTTTACCATAATTATCTCCCAAAAACATTACGGAAATATGACTGCCCTCGAAAAGAACGAAGAGCTGAGAATTTAAAACATGTCTTAACCTGTTTACAGACATAAACTTTCAATAGTCTATGCGTCATAATATTTTTTTAGGCAATTTGAAAGCGATTCCATACTGGATTGTTTATTTAGTGTAACACACAGTGATACGGTATGAGCAGTATGTTCACCTCGAAAAGTCACCAAGTTAATTATACTGCATCACTGTGTGTCACATCAAATAAACAATCAAATAAGGAATTATATTCCGCCAGAGTGCCCAAGATTTTCCCCTGCATTAATTTGAAAATGAGCACAGAATCTCATATTAAAATCAATCAAGAAATATTTGAATCAACGTATTCCGTAAAACTCTGGGTCTGATGATGGCTACAGCTTAACTTTCAACAAAGTTTTTAACATAAATATACACTCGGAAAGTTTTAGTCACCTTACTATGAGCTATGCGGTGAGGATAGGTTTTACTTCACATGATGAGGTTTGGCTTAGCAACTCTGACGTTAACACCAGGATTAGGCAGGATTGAGACAGAGAATCAAGATAAGAACTTTAACTTCCAAACACTTCAAATTCGAAAGAGTTCCGGAGAGATAGAAGAGTTCTTGGTATATTTTGAATTATGGTAAACCACAATGCAGACCAATGAAGATGAGAATGGCACATTTCTCTAACTTCTATTGATAAACACTGTTACTTCATTTAAAGAATCTTATCGCGCTACAAGTGTCGGTTCCTAATTCAACAACAACTACCGCTATATGACTTTACACCAATAGTTCCGTGAATGCAGATTTGAAAAATGTGTGGTGGATAACTCAGAAGTTCATTTCTACTCAAATACTAGTTTTTTTAATTATAATCTCTGTGTCTAGACAGGATGTGGAAACAGTTTCAATGATCACTGAAAGTAATGTAAGCATTCTTGACTTAACGATGATGAGTTAATTTGCCTTCGATGAAGAATACGATGCGAATGATGCGCAACCCATTGTCAAAGAAGAACTCATGCAAAATATTGCTATGCCTTTAGATAAAAAAACTCATGATTTTTGAAAGTATTGCATACATCCCTTGTCTGACGGTGAAGATAAATAGTTTTTCTGTTGGGAAGGGGGATGAGGTGATCACACATTTAAAGTGCAGATAACAAAAACTATCTCAAGAGTTTATCCAACAGTCAGTTCAGATTGTTTAGTTAAATCCCCGATACATGTGCTTATTAAAGAAACTACCATCAGTTATAATTTTTAACTACTTCATCAAAAGTTGAAACCAATCAAATTCTCGATGCAATTGCCTACCACTGATGATTCTATATTTTTAATTACTACATTTCTTATGCTTTCAGATATCCAAGAAGCTATTATAAGCTGCAACTATTCCTCTTAGATATTAATGATAGATAATGGCTAGCAGTGGAAACCAAGATGCACCTTTTGTCCTGTCGGGGACTCATCAGCTAGATGTACCTGGCCCCCAGTGGGTGATGTTATTCTCACTACTAACCTAACCCAGGACCGGTGGCTTCAAACACTAGAGTGTTATCTACTAGGCCACTGCTGTAAAAACATAACTAAAATTAGTCCGTTTAAGAAAATCTAAACAGAATCAAATTTCACCACATTACCCATTATTGACCCCACATCATTTCGTGAAAGAAAGTCTCTTCTGAAGAGATGTGACTAATCAGACATTCATTCAACGCAAACTATATTCCAAGAGTGATGTAGTATCAAGTCATGGAAAATGCTTACATAAGTAACACTGATGATTCATTCCCATCTTAGGCTTCTATGAGTGATGCTATAATCATTACTAATAATCCAAGCTAGTATGATTAGGCTTTTTGAAAGGTATGGTTATACTGCTTGAAATTTAAGCATTATATTTCTTGTTTGTCTTGTGTTACTCTAGTGATCACTAAGTGCAGATATTAAGTACCTAATGCAATTTCGAACACAGTATAAGACCAAGAAATACACCTAAAAAAGTGAAGTGAGGCACGTATGACTTCAGCACTCATTTTGCGAGCTGTGATTCCTCATGACTTTATCCAGGTTAGTATGAAAGCGCAAAGTACCACTCCCAAATGTACACCTATGTTAAATAATTTCCACCTTGTAAATCTGAGCGTCTTTGCTACTTGTAAATCGTGATGTGCTTTGAACACAGCTCTACCACTTATTTTGTTGACTCACTTCCTGTAAAGTTCTTTTGACCGCAATTAATCTACAAACACCTCAGTTATTACCGCCATCTGTTAATAAAATGCAGTATTTTAGACAATTCCTTTACTTGCATTTTATAGGTCACTCAAACATTTGGTTATTTGTCGAGGAATCAACTGATCATCCTGGAGACGAATTCACGGTACTTGAATCCAGCAGTTTGTGTGAAGCTGAAAACAGTTCAGTGGTATGAAAGATAACATGGGGGACACTGAGGGAATTTTTAGGCTTGAGGATGAGTTTCCTGTCCTGCAAGTTAAATTTTTATCTGTTCTTAACGTCGATGTATTTAAACACATGCCAAAAGTAGGCGTTAATAAACGTTAGTTTCTGACACTAAGCATGGTAGCGGAATCTGGTCAGATTTAGAAAAAAGGGGTTGCAAAACTTGATACACCTCAGGACTACCTGAAATATAAGAGCCTGAGCTTCCCTTTAGATCCTAACCCATGATCGATGGCAAGAAAATCCAAGAAAGTAGGGATTACACCAACATTGACCGTTTCAATGCTTTAGTGTCTACGGTTGGACATTGGAATATCGAAATAAATAACTTTTTTGAAAGGAAGTAGGTCAACAAAATCAGTGGTTGAGCTGTGTTCAAAGCACACCACAATCGACAGATAGCGAAAGAGATGAGGATTCACTGACCAAGGTTTAGGGATTACGATCAATCAAGTCTTGAAAGGAAGATAGTTAACCAGAAGAAAAAAGAAAGAAGGCGTTGTTGAGTTGTCAACTAGGAAGGCTGTCATTACGCTGGGAGTTTTGAGTGTAAAAACTAAGTACGGATTTAGAGGAACCGAACAGTTTAAAATAACTTCGATCCTCATGTTGTAGAAGTAGAAAACGTTGGTTTCTTGAGATCTATTTCTGTTCTAATGGAATAATTTCTTTATTTGGCATGGGAAATCTAAAAGGACAGAGATAATGAGTTAACAGTTAATCAGCATTCCACTGGTAGTGGTACCAGACAAAGCCTATAAGACAACGGGAAGCTTTTTGAGTACAGTTCATCTGCACCGAAATATTCCTTTCAAATGCATGAGAAGAAATTACTTCCACAACTTCTTCAGAAAAGGAGTCCTGCAAGTGACTTGCCATAACTGTAAGATGGAAGTGAACTTGCAGTATGAATTATATTACTCTTTATTAATAAGCGATATAGATCTGAAAGCGTAAAAGGAATACATTGGTGAAAAAAAAGGAAATCGAAGTTTAGGTAGGTAGGTAGTTAACATAGATTTTTCTTCAGGATTTATTCAGTCTAAGCCGAAGTGTTTTATCTCAATGACAAAAGAACAGCGGAGTAAGTCGAATATTCCTAATCCTAGTTGTCATGAGAAGTGAGAAATTACTTACACAGATCAACGGATCTGTCTACTTCGGTCTAAGTGGTTTATAATAGAAAATATGAATGCTTGTAGTAAATGACAATTATGTAATACTTGGTCTGTGAAGTTTCTCTGTCTGAAGATACATTAACAATCCCATCACTTAGACTTTGTGAGTTCAGTCTGTTTACTTTGGGCTATATAAAGTCATAGGTAAGCAAAAATACTCCATCTTCTTAGTATTTCTCACTTGTGTAACGAAATTTGCTGACAGTCACCTCGTAAAGATACAGTTTTAACACTTTCTGATATTTTTCTTTACATTACCCGAACTATTGTCTTCTATGCAATTTAGGTATATTCGGTTAGTTAATCCTTTTCTTTTTAAGCACGTTTTTGCTTGTTCTTGAAATTCTTTCATTCCTTCCATTTTAATTGATTGATTAGACTTATCACACACTGTAATAGTATTGTTAACTGGACTGCATTTTGGGCATAATTTATTGTCCATAGTGATATCAAGATAACATCCTTTATATAGTCCTACTTTCCTTGCCCACCCCCCCCCTTTGTGATACGAGTAGTAAGATTTGCCATATATACATAACAGGTTCCTCAGAAATCATGAGAAAAATAGAATATTAGTAACACAGATGTACATAGTAACAGTAATAATGTTAATAGTAGTAGCAGCAATACTGTGAAGAGAGTAGCGTAGTTGTCTCGATATGACTACGGAAAATAAATTGTCAGAAACGTAATACAGTGAACGATGCTGTTACACTGTGTGGTAAATCTAATAAATCAATTAAAATGGAATTATATTCTACCACAGTGCACAAGTTTTACTTTCATTCCTTGTCAGGCAAAAGTAGTAACTACCAGGAACAATGGTACAAAAACCTGTCATATGCTTAAAAAATATGAAGCATCTGTACCTTCAGTGGTTGGGCCAACAGCACGTTTATAAAAAATGACAAGAACAATGATGAGAGCCACTTTTTACAGGTATCTTCACCAAACATCACACCATAGAATGTGGTAAAGGCAACGGCTGCAGCCAACATAGAACAACTAGTAGCCAGGCCAGTATACGCAGCTGCCATCCACAAAACAAACTGAAGCCTTTTCTTCTGATCATGTGGTCATCAGTAATTTCAGTCAGTGATTCAGGACTAAAGTAAAAAAAAAGGAGAAAAGAAATAGTTAATGGGAAATAACTACATTAAGTGGCTATAATTTAGATTAGATGCCATGAGAGTATTCTAAGTTCAGTTTCTTCTTTTCTATAATGTATAAGAAGCTTTAAGTTTTGTTAACCGATGATCATCTACAGCGGGGAACTTTAATCGGATGGAAAAAGATAAGTAACCTGTAGTTACTAGTTAAAACGTCATAAGGGATTGTGAGCAAAGCTGGGTTTTAAAAGTCACAAAACAGGATGGTTCATTTGTTCCAGAGATTTTATCCTGTTCTCGAAAGGTGTTATCATGACTCTTTGTGTACTTCTACGGCAGAATAAAATTAAAAACCTCTTTCTCATCCTCTCAACGCACTGAGAGATGGTGAAAGGCTTCCTTAAAATGTCAGATTCAGAGTTAGTGATTTTTCATAATATTTGTTACATCTGTGTCCTAGTCACTTATGAACTCATGGCATGATTCAGATTTTTCTTATAATTTACTTGGTGATTAGAAAAGTCAAAATATTTCTTGACAAAAAAACTATTTGAGACGAACAGGGGAACTTTGAAGAGAAGCGCATTTGATACAAAGCAGTTCACTGACAAAGAAAACTTCAATTTAGGTGCTCATGCTAGTCATTCAAAATCAGAATGGGACCTAGAATTACCGGGTAACGGTCCAAGTGTTCACAACTCAAATCAGCAAATCAAGATGCAAGATGAATGCAAGCAATAGGATAAAAGTTGTAGGAAGCTATCAAACTTAAAGAAGATGGATTAAAATAAGAAACGAAATCCCAGATGAAAACAGATCATGAACACATCCGTACCATTCTTACCACTTCTGAGCCATGTCATGCAGATTCGTCAACTAGAAACCCACACTCCCATAAATAACTCAAACCAACAGTCAATTACTTCACAGACTGATGCTACATTTTAATTCAGCCAACTCCGACCTTTTCCGAGGACAATCCTACTTTATCCAACATAGAACAGAGAGAATACCTGGTTGGGACATCCATCCTAATGTCTGGAGACTGCCTAGTTTTCTCCAGTTTATTTTTTAATGAATTCCAATTAATCACCACACAATTGTATAACCTGAGGTCTTCGACAATATGCTGATCAGACTGATAACTCTTAGGTTATCAAAAGAGGCTCTTTTTCCACTATGCAAGACTGGGACAACCAGTAGTTCACACCAGCTAGAGAATATAATATCTGATTTCCAACACAAACTAATACTTTAGTTGGTCTAACCACTAAAACTGGGCCACCGTTCTTGTTGTACCGGTTGCATTGTGGGTTCCTTCTGATCGAGTCCACTGCTGCTACAGTTCTGCAAATTAGTTAAAGATCTAAGTGACGAAAGTAGATGAAAGGTAAAGAGGGCTTAATTGGATATGATCATTTCATTCAAGAAATATAAACGAGTGGTAATTACAAAGTACAAAATAATATCTAATAATCAATACATAAGATGTGCCCCAGTAGCTCTAAGGATAACAATAATATGGCATCAAAGCGGTGGGTGCTAGGTTCGAGTTCATCTCATGAATACAAACACTAATGACAGCAATTTCGACTGGTAAACTTTAGAAGACACATTCTAGATTTTATTAAAACCCACTCAACTTAGTCCAACAACCAATCTTGAAGTTATAGTTTATTACTTTCCAATAAATATTGTTAATCAAGGCTGAGATTTGCTCTACATTACAAAATAATCAGAAATAAATATCATTTTACGAAGAATGTATCAAAAATGCTAAAACTCGTCAAAAACATTTCAACCTACTCATCATCTTTGCTTCTCTCCGATTGTTTGGGTTGATTAGAGTAGACAAATGAAACTTTTTCAAGGTGTAATCTCTCATCCAACTGTTCTTCGATTACATGACGCAATTTTGTTGCATGACTAACGCGTAGATGGGAGTTACGAAATATGTACATGATTAGAAATAAAGGGATGAATGTCAGTGCATTATTGACAACTGCAACATACAGCTGTGGAAAAAAAGAATGTGAATAGAAGTCACGTGATCGCTATTACTAACACAAAGTAAGTGTGCATAATTAGACTGTAGAATGTAAACTTATTCAAAAGCTTGGACGATGAATGCAAAAGCTAACCAGAGATTCTTAGACTCATAGACGAACTCGTCAAGAAAAGCCCTTCTTGATTGTTTTTCGTTACCTTATAAAATAAAGTCTTTTGAAACTTCTTCAAAAGACGAATTTCTCCAGGGAAGTAATCAAATGAATTATTTTAATTTCTGCAAACTACCCATAAAGAAACAACACCAAATTTTCACATCCATTAAAAATCTTTTCGGAGAGTTGTAGGGTTGTGGTTGATTTCAAGACAGTCTTCAGGATGGAGTAACATCAGTTGGAAAACCATTGAAAAATCAGGCGTACTAAACAAGTGTTTCACCATAGAACGGACTTTTTAGCTGTCTGCAACCACGACTTTGCCGGGAATTCTTCGGCTCAAAGACGAATACTACTTCTTGATTCAAAAGAAATCGCGTCATAAGATCCTGGACTGAAGAACTGTTAACCTTTCGTAAATCCCGAAATTGTTGGGGTTGGTTTCGATAAGTCTGTCAAAAGTGTTTATGATGTTGCACAATCGCTATACTTGGTTCATTCTCCATCCAACCAACATCGTATTCTCTGACTTCCTCAGTTTTGATCTGTACATGCTTCAAGTAAACTTTAGTGACGGTGAATCACGTTCAAGTACAACATAGTTATTGGGGAAAATGGTACTTTACAGTTTCATATCAAAAATAAAAATATGTAGATTTTCAACGGGTTTATCACCTTTGGAACGATACCAATTTCTGTATTACCACTCATCCATATGAGACCATGACATGTCCCCTCGTCATCCCTTCGAGGGTCTTAGAAACCTTTTGAGACAACCCCACATGTTTCTAACACTGCCTGTGCGCATTTCTGTTGTGCGATCATGAACTGCTTCTTGTGAACCATAACTTGATGGGAAAACCTTATACTAGATGGACGTAGATGGACGTAATGAGTGACTTTTGTCTCAGTATTCTCAACCCGATTGGTCATCCTCAAGGTTACCAGTCACTAAAGTTTGCTTGAACCGTACATCAGTAGAACGAAACCTAAGAGAACTGTTGTGGATGCTGTTTATTCTAAATCATGATAAGTGTCAATCAATGTATCACAAGCTTTTCTTAAATTCATGTTCAGCAATGATTCTGATCCTTCGAACTAGCATCATCGATCGGTGTCTCTTAAGACTATATTATAACTAAACTATGCCACATTAAAATCGTGATTGTTGGACTATGTAGTGGTTACTTTCATACAAGACGTGATGATTGAAAACTACGCCAGTGAAACCAGCAGATAGTAGTTTCTGTGAGTTCCATGTGGGATAAATTTCTCTCGTAGTTACATAATAAGTCCAGTAAGATCTTACCAAGTACAAACAAGTGTTAAGAGAGGTATGGAGTATATGTTACCTAGGGTATATAATCCAAAGATATTAATCAGGTTACTTTAAAAAGAGACTAACTTCAGTAGCAGTGAATCCAAATGGTCCCAGAGTGATTAAATTAGGTTGTTTAACAGCTCCTTCACCTTTATAGAACATACATGAACCGAGCATTGATAAAAATAGTAAGAGCAAACAACAGGCTACTCTTTCCACACATGTGAATCGACTTTGAACTGGTCGGGCGAAATTGATACCCATAGATGATCTTCAGCCATGTTGTGTGACACCGTAGTATTGAACATGTGTTTAAATGTCAACAGTTCTTCTTGACTTGTCACTGGAATTAGACGATCGACCTAAAATATCATTTTTTCATATAAGGGTAGAATATTTTCCGTCACAGGGAAATAAATCAGCATTTAAGACCATTAGAATTGGAAGTGATTTAGTGTAATCTGTTTTTCAGGTCAATTTATGGCTGGTTTAATGTTTAACAGGATAATAAACTCTGCATACAGTAAGCAAGTCGACAAATTTTTCTAATCAATGGTGCTCTACAGCTAAGAAAAATTAGGCCTGTAGATTTTACTCTTACTTAACGACTGCGATGAAAGAATGGAAGATATCAACAACAGAAACAACTGTGGATAAGAATAAAAATACCATTCCTAGATTACAACATCACGAAAACAGCTCTAACCTAATTAGATTCGTTACAACTTGGGCTATCGCTTCATGAGCTGGCCAAAATCTGTTCACTTCCACCTACTTTGAAGGTATTTGACTCAGCACTTCTTGAATTGAATGCTCAGTGAAATTTAAGTGTTTGCCTCAAGTTATCTGCGTTTCACTTACCCACTAACGGGCGAAAAGTATACTAACTTCTGACATCAACTTTGAGCCTTCTCACGATGAGAAACACTCCGGATTTAGATCAGGCTCAATTCCAGGGGTCCACTAAAGACCTTAAGAAATAAATTATTTCTTCAAACAATTTAAACATTTCTGTATTATTTCATTGTTTTAGAAGTAGTTGGAGTATCATCAGAGGTATTCCATATTGTTTAAATTCGCTCAAGGTTTTTATACTGTTTATGAACTGGCAGTATACGCTCACACTCCCAGTAAATTATACCAGTGTCACTAGCATAACACAAGTTACTATTAGCGGATGGAGTTGCTATGCATCATTTCAACATTCCTTGTTTCTGAATCTAGTTCCTGTAAGCTGTGTGATAAAAAAGTTCCGTGTTCATCATGCTTTTTCTGACATCCAACATCATGATCATAACACTGAGACAACACATTACTTTATTCGAATTTTCCCAGCCAGAATTGTTATTATTTTACCTAAAATTCAAAAACTTCACGTCTGTTGCATAAATCATTCCTATCTGAAGTTCGAAAACACTTGACAATCTACGACTGATATTTCTTGAAGATTTCTGGAGAAGTTTTTCTTTCTACGATGTAGAACTTATCTCAGAGCCTGTCAGATTACATCATATCTCATCTTGACCCTTCCGAAGTAACTAGTTGTAGCGTTTTTACTAATTATTTGAAGGTAGTTAAAGTCGTCAGCTATGACAGTCCTGAAGAGCAAGAGTAGAAGTTGAGAACTGCAGATATCTATATTGTCTTCCCAATAAACAACCACTACGGGTTATAAGTTTCTTGAGTGAAATAGCCTGACCCATTTTTGTTAATTAAAGTTCACTGAATGAAAAAAATCTTTAGCTGCTTCCTGGGGATCTATGTTGTAAGTTTGATGAAAGTAGTTACAACCAGGTGACACAACTTGGATTGATTAAGTTGTCCTTTTAAATCATTTTAATTTGAGCATCACTTTCGGGAGAGATGACTTGGTCGTATTTATTCACTTCAGGAGTGACGATTGTCACCGAAATGAGATATGAAACGTAGTATAATTCAAAACTGTGGATTTCGATTTACTATGAGAATTGATTGCCAGCGAGGTTTAGGTGTCTCTTCACAAAATGAGATGTAAATAAGAGGTGCATCACTGCCTAGGTCTTTTCTTCTTGATCCACACCGACCTAGTTTAGACATAGGCTGATGACTAAACCTTCTGATATGGCCTTGATAATGATAGTGACCTTCATATAACAGGAGATTGTAACAGTAAATTAAACCTGTTTATGACAGAAACTCCTAAAAGTGGAATCGTTTTTGTTTCACGGGTCTAACAGTTTTTCTTCGAATTATCAACCTGTTTAATAACATCTGAATGTATTCCCATATCCAGATATCATTAACAACTTACTTGACCATCTCCTTCTTCAACTGCAAACCAGCTCTCAACAATAAAGTGTGACTTTTCGCTAGTTTGCAAATCTACCACTCCAACATAATTGCAGTACCAAGATGCTTTATCACCCACACCAGAATTATCATGCCACAAACGAATATAGATTAGAGGTCCAAGTGGTCTATATAGTGTGAAGTAGAATACAATCAAATTTAACAAAATGCATTAGATTTTTCCGTGCCGATAGGTATAAGAACGTTATCAAAATGGATGTGGAAACACGCCAAATATTCCGTGTACAGGATGCTGTCATGAAATACTCAAAGGTAATGAATGCTTCCAAAGGAAAGTATCTTTCTTAAAACTTTTTACAGTAGTTACATAAGCCTTGAAAATAGGATATATGCTTGCTAGACATTAACAACAGAGTCTTGTATGAAATCTTTATGTATGTATGTATGTATGAAATCAGTATGTACATAAATGCACAGTTCGTTCAGTTATGATGTTTCATTATTTCTTCCCGCATTACTAAATGAATGGTACTTTTGATAGGGGATTTATCTAATCAATGGTGACAATATGTCACCTGTTTGATACAGTATCATGATGACTTCACATTTACAAGTAAAAGTTCTACAACATGTTTGAGTTTCTGAAAACATTTTATACCTAAAAGAGGTGATCTATGTATGAAGTCTTTATCAGCTTCTGGACCATTCAGTGTTTGAGTACATACTTTTTAAGTAAAGTCGCAGTACTTTTCTGACTGGAACAGACACAATTTATGCAGCAGAAGGAACAAGTTTTGTGTCCCAAATTCTAGAGATTTCCAAAACATCTCAAAACGTCTATGAACTGGTTACTAGGTGATTAGGAATACAGCTTTCAAATTCTGACTACTGATCGAAACCTGTCACTCGGGTCTGAATGATTTGTGTGGAATGATTCGTTGCTATATCCTTGTAGTCAAACCCTCGAGTGAAACCAAGATGGAAAGCGACGATTTGGGCGTCACAGTTGAGGGTGACATGGAGGAGATCGTGTGAAGAAGAAATGAGAGCTTCTGGGCTGTCGTAGAACCAGGTTCGAAAGTTTGCAGAGAACGGAGTGCACTGGAGACGTGCTACTGCAGCCCTGTGTTCCATTAGGAACCCAAGGGACAAATAATATTGCATATATATATATATATATATATATATATATATATATATATATAGAGAGAGAGAGAGAGAGAGAGAGAGAGACTCTTAAAATAACCTTCAGATTACACCCTTTGCAGTTGCTCGGTTCCTTGGTAAATGGGATAGGCGATAAGATAACAGAAGGTATATTGCAGTGTTACAATATTTGCAAAATACAACGTCTTATATACATTTAAAATGGTCTTGACTATTTTTAAACCTTTCTAGATTAGCATCTCCGATTGATTTTTACCTCTTCAACTGATCCGGTTTCTTAAAAATTAGAAGCAGGACGATTAGTTATAAAATGTTTCAGGGATTTAGGGCTTTCTATACGAATCTAAATAGAAACTAACATTTATAATGTATCAAAAAATTCTATAGCAGTGGATTAGATCTTTACCACAATCTGCAGAAATAAACTGCGGTAATTGTGAGAAATAGTACAGTGGACACACTGGTCACCTTTGACTAAATCATTCGTGTGAAAATCAACTAGTATTTAAGCCTCATTGTATGTTTTGATTTTTTTCAATGCACATGAATGAACTTTAACATAAATGCAACTGAGAAAATGTGGATGTCTTAGATCTTTACAACACAGAGAATACCTCGAAATGCCTAAAAGAGCTTAAGTTAGTTGTTAATCAACAAGCATATTGTGACTGATCCAGTTTGACAACAAATGAATAATTACCCGGTTACATTTCATGCTGGTGAGAAAGTCAACCAAAATGCCTATTAATATAGTTCCTTAGTAATATAAGGTAGCAACAAGGAAACCTAGGTAATTAGCACAAAACTTAAACCTATTTGTAGAAAATTATAACAACTCAGTTCCCTTTTAAATTTATTATATAATCAAATGATGGTAGCAGATTCACGACTATAGCCCTAATTGTAAAGAATGAAAACTAAAATTACCCTTTCTATTTAAACACATGAAGTAAAAGCAGTTAAATACCTACCTTGGACAAGCAAGTAAAAATCTGTCTATATGACCACGACCCAATACTTTTCTGTAAGGGTCTTGAAGCACACGACAACCTGTTTCACCGTATTGTCCAGATAAAACGAAGCAAACTTTGGAATCAGTACCTGCACATCTACGATGTCCTGTACTCACAATAACTTCATATAAATATCCATGATCTGGATTATTCTCAGCCAAAGGGGTAATACCAATCTAGGTGAAATTTTTAGAAGGGTGAAAGAAATAATAAGTAGACAGCTGAATATACTCATCTAAAGGAAGATAAATAATCAGTATCAAGATCTGAAAATGTAGACACAAGTTTTGATGGTGACAGATGAGTCCCAAACAACATTTGACTCAGGTATTGTCCCTGATGGCATTCACATGAAGACTTGCAAAACTCATCGTTTTTGGGAAATGTGAATTGATGTATTTCAGCGATGCAGTTTTAATACAGTCTTAAAGTTCACAGTGAACAGATGATAAGAACGGAAGGTAGATATGCAGAGTCCCCAGTACCATTGATATTGTCTTATTCTTTTTACATTTAGTTTTCAGATTCCTGAAAGAAGCCTGGAGGTTATTTTCCAAGCGATCAAGAGTTCTTATGTGCATCAGCTACTTACACTATATCAAGTAGTGACGGAAACCATGGCAGGCATATCCTTTAATTAACAAAATCTCCGAAGAAAAGGCAACAGAGAAGAATTGGAAACCATAGAGGTACTTGCTGATAAATAGTGGGTCATACGATCAAAATCAACACCCAAATAACCCTGAGTATCGCACAAGGGTTCTGTTATCAGTCCTACAAAAGGGTCCCATTTCTATTTGCTTCCAGATATAACATTTGAATCATGGTTTAAAAATTATGATTTATTTTTGTTGACCTGACAAAGATGCATCAAAAGGACGTATTCTTCCGAGAAAATTGAACATAACAGAAGACGATCGTTTGAAAAATTTCATACTACCGAAGAATCTATGTAATCATTTTTTAGAACGGTCAAGAAACTGTCACTAATATTTGTAGAACAGTCATCTCTATTTATTATCAAGCATCAATGTCTTAATCTTGTAACAGGGTTGGGGGATAACTGGGTCAAGCATGCAGAAGTAGTTAACACAATGTGAACGACTGAGAATTCCATTTATGTTAAAAGATCATTTTAAATGCCTTACTTTTACTTACAGCCTATAATCTCCTGCAGATGCTGATATATGTGCTGGTGTTTTAACTACGATTGAATAGTTTCTTGATATACAACTTCAGGGAATTACAAATGAATATCAAGGGTTAGTTACCTTAAGACACAAGTTAGCAATAATCGAGAATGACATTCTTCTGTCCATTATTAAAAGAGTCATTCAGAACATTCTGAAGCTACTGACAATGAAAACATTATTAAGTCAAAACTATCTTTCGCATGCTGACAGTGTGGTGGCTGATACAGTGAGATTTTTTTCTTCTAAGTACCACATTTGCACCAGTTATACATGATGTCATAAAGACGACCACTGTAAATCTAAACACTGACATCAATAACAATTACACGTTAGAAGGTTCAAACATGAACATCTGGAACCAAACATGGCAATAGCATCACGTAGAAGCAGATCAGTGTTGCAATGGAGACATATATCCATAAGAACCGATGAACAGCAGGCTGATCTCCAGCCTAGCATAGCTTTTGATATAACAATTAGCAACAAACAAACATGGCAGTAAATAGGTCACTCCGAAATTCACCCGACTCTTCAAGTCATTCGAAGTTCATGAGACGGCTAGCCACATGTTATTGGGAGAGTTCATTGTGATATTATGTAAGATATGATATAATGAAGCACTGTAGAGATAAAACGTCTTTCAATCCTTTTAGATCAGACTGGACAAAGAAACTGATTTTACGAGGAAATTCACTAAGCCTTATCTTGAACCAGTCAGAAGTTGGGAAGAAAGTGAACCCTATCATATCGTGATATATTCAACTGAAACTAACAAGTGCGTTTCAACTTAAACAGACCACAAATTCCTCTGATGACCTAGGGAAATGTAAAGGATTTAAAGCTATCTTTAAGCTCCCCTTAGAAGTTAAGCCTATGTTCCGGCCTAAAAGGTTAATACCATATGTGAGAATGGGAATCAGCCGGAGAATGTTTCATCGTGGTCAGCTTCAGAAAGCACTATACATCTGTGTTAAAATTGCTCTACAGAACTGAATGCGTCTCCTGAAAATCATCAGCATCCATCACCATTACCTACAGACTGAGTGGCTAAATTGAGTGGCGGTAAGTGTTTCATGAAGCTGGAGCTGTCTGAAGCATATTTACTAATTCCGGTAGCAAGGTAATGCAAGTAACTTCTGACCATGCAGGGGTTATTTACATATAATCGTCTTCTTTTCGACACCAAAAGAGCTTCCACTACATTTCAACAGGCAATGAATACGATGAGAACTGAAATGATGGAGAGTATTTGCAGCTCAGGTGGATGGTCTTGGTTGTATTGTGTTCTCTGAGCTGAGTTGGTATCCTTGGTTTCGCAGAGTACTTAGATGACATAATCAAAATGCAACAAGCAAAGGAGATTCAATGCATCAACAAGATCTGGTTTGGGGGCACATAACAGATTGTCGGTTCTAGCTTCAAACAGATAAATGTAAATTCTGCGTAGAACAAGTTAATTATCTTGGGTTTATTGTGGACAGAAATGGAAGGCACAATTATCCAGCCAATAATAACGTAGTAAAATCTACGTGATATCCAACATATAATACAGCATTGCTTTCACCGTCTTCAGAGTCCTTTGAATCAATTATCAATGATGAATATAAAATGGGATTGGTCACCTGATTGTCGACAGGTATTTAATAAAACTGTGAGGTTACTTACCTCAGGTTTGTATTTGTTTCACTACGACCCATGACTGTCCATTACAGTCGCATCAAATCCTTCAAATTACGGGGCTGGTAAGGTAGTATCACATATTTCCCCAGATGGTTTCGTGAAAGCTACCTCTCATATCTTTCAGTCCCTAACTTCAACGGAACGCAGTTACGGTCAAATTACAAAAGGGAGCTCTATTTATAATCTATGCAGTCAAGAATTTGTACAAAGTTATGTATGGACTATGGTACATATTACTGGCAGATTACAAACGCTTATTAACAGTATTTGGTTAAACCACTACTGTTGAGTTATGACTGTTAAATACAATGCCAACTCATATATATTCTCAAACAGGCTGATGCTCTCCTTTTAAAGTGATTGGATCTCAGCAACCAAGCAAAAGATGTTGTGATACCAACCATAGAAGTTGGACTTTAGGCACGGCATTTCGTAAGAGATGGATTATCACATTACCAGTCATATACATCAATTCACTATTAAATTGACTGAAGAATAGATGAAACTTTGAGAACAGCCAAAAACTGCATATGACAAAAGGACCAACGTCGCATGACTCACTGTCGATTGGGGATTTGTGTGTCATGGTCTGTAACAGAAATGAAGTGTCAAAGTATCTTTATCAGCAGGTACTGAAACAATTCCACAGTGGGCATCTAAACATCACCAGGATGAAGTCGCTGACAAATAGTTATGCATTCTAGCCTACTATGGGGCACACGTTTGAAAATGCACATCGTTATTGTCTTAACTTTACAAAAGCACCCAGGAACCCATAAAAGTATCTACTGCACCCATCACCAGCGACAGAAATGCCGTTGAAAAGAATGTTTGCTGACTTCTCCAGATCTATACAAGAAAAGATGTACCATATTTTCGTTGATGCGGATACTGAATGGTCTAAAGTCTTTTACATGCCACAAGGCACAATAGAGTCCATAATCATAGAATTGTCTAACCGGTTCAGTTGCTTCAGAGCGCCAAAAACCATGGTGACGGATAGTGGCATATAATTTATTTTTGCAGAATGTAAGGTAGGTCCACCAGGAAAAACAACACGGTCTTTCATCTTTCAGGTCAAAGCCGAAGTACGTACAGACTGACTGACGAAACAACGGAAAAGGTTAGCCAATGAAAAACCTACGCGTTGCTCTCCTATTGTAATATGATTGGTTATGAAGATTCTTTTTGTGGATCAAGGTTCTTGTTAGCATGAGCACCTGAGTTGCTGGTGCTGTTACTTCTCTTTTTCAGATCATGTGTTGCCTGGAATCTTTATGAGCATTTTCAACTTTGTGTAGACAGAATCCAACGCAGCACATACTTTCTCGATCGTATCACCCACAACCAAAATAAAAAATGCATGGGCACAAAAGGAGAAATAGGAAGAATTTGTGAACACAGCCATTAGTAGCTTTCTAATAACCTATAAAAACACATCAAGTCCCAACACAGCAGATAGAAAATCTCCTGCGGAATGCATGTTGGCAGCAGAATAAGAACTGTTTTGCCTCTATGCGGACTACATATAAATCAACAAGAAATGTATAGTCAGACCAAAGAAGGAAACTTCTTCCTAGTAATAAGGTTATGGTGGAAGCATATCTAGCTAGACACCAATGACAAATAGAGGTAATCAAACATAAAACCGGTAAAGTACTTCACGGTTTACAAGTCGACTCGGAAATTTGGAGAAAATCAAATTAAATGAGACCCAAATTTCATAATCAGATTAAAACGGATATATTCCACAGATAACCAATAAAGCTGTCACGAGACAACTCAGAGCCATCGGAAGCTGAATATCACATGCAAAGAGTACGACAAGGCTCCAGAATTCTACAGGCTTAAAACCTCAACAATCATGAATGCTCAGCTTCAGGAAACTAATCAAGAAAACTTAAATTAATCCAAAGGAACTTTTATATTGAAATCAATAAATCCCCACAAACCCCCGAATCGGTTTCCTCATTTGTCTCAACGTTCTGGAAAATACTCCACTCTTCTTCATTTATTGACGTAAATCATTTTAAATGCACGCAGACTTTCCACTACCTTATTGGTGATAAAAGTAGTGTATTGTTTGTTCACTGTTCTTTTCATACACGTAGTTCTGATCTGGTTACCTGGGTAGAAACAATTCTGATCAAATATTTGGACTCATTCATCCGAGTATTTGACAGAAGAAAGATTTCCTACTTTAACTTTTACCGCCTGTCGATTAAGAATTCAGAATGACTAATTATATGGTATGTTTAATTAGATAGCTGCGAGTTGTATAGTAGTAATAAAAGCGAATGATAACTGAAAATGAAAAGTCATTCTACATCAGGTTCATATTCCTGGTCTTTAATTTACCATGTATGTGTTCTGCCACCGGATCAACGATAACTCACTTTGAAGAAATGCAATTTCCCTATTCTCGTGAACACTAAGCGAAGTGCTCACTCATTAAAGTGAAACTAAGATATAGTTGAGGCCTATACACAAAACCATAAATAAAAGTGGAGATTCGATGCAACAATAACTCACCTTTTCTAGGTCCTTATTGTCTTTTCTACGCGCCCAGATGAATAAAAGAAGAAAATACTACCAACTGTAATCTCTGTAGCATATAATGAAGGATTCTTTTCAAAATCAATATTAGCAAATACATAGTCGAAATCAATATTGTTGGGTAATTCGAGCCAACCGGTTGTGAACGTAGACAACTCATCGCATATGCAGTCAGTCTGCTGAATAGTAGTCTTGGGACCTACCTTTAATTTTAAAAGTACAGAATGGAACAGGTCTTGAAGTTAGGATATAAACAATAGTGAAGACGAATGAATACATATTGTCGGGAGTAAATTGAGTAATAAATCACATAACAGATAAAATATCCTTATTTGTTTTGAATACATTCACTTGAGTGAGCACATTTTGTAGATAACTTTACTTTCAGGCTGAGATTATGAGAATTGCTTATATTTTTTTGGTAAATATAAGTTATCAAGTATGATTACGAAACAACCCCAAACAATGCATCACCTCGAAAAGAATAAAATTTATCAAAAGTTGGCAAAGTACATTACTAACCTTATTCTTAATGTCCTGCCATACAGATTAACGTGTTTACATTTTGACTGGAAATGACAAAAGCACAGAATGATTGATACATAATCGATTAATGGTCAGGTTGAAAAGGTACTTACTACATGTGATTCCGGTTTCAAACTCATAACATTTCTTAGGAAAATGTTGAATACACGATGAACTCATTCTGTTATCGGGTATCTACTGTTGAACAGTACTTCCAGTAGGATATTCGTAAATGGTGCAACTTGTATTGATATTCTTTTCTACCAACAACTTTCCTTAAAACTGATTCACCCTAAGATTAGACAAAACTGTATTTCTGAGAGATGAGTATCACAACAGTCTAACAAAATATCCTACCAGATGAAGCTGACATTGGAACGAAGTTCACAAAACCAAAGTCTTACTCGGTAATAAGCATTATTATGTTGTTTTCAATCCCTTCCGTCTAGACTCAATAATTCCACCTAAGGACAGATTCAGATGCAAGAGTGCTAATGTGGATGTCTAGTCAAACAGTCGACAAATTACTCACTACAGCCTGATATTTAATAAAGCTAAGTATTTAAAGCGTTGTGATCTTGTCATATGCACCTGTTAACATTTTGAGACTCTTCTGTATATTTCAGGATGTCTGAAATGTAGTTCTTTAAAATCCTACCGAATATTATTAAGACAGTATTGAATGATGCTTGTTTTACTAAGCAAAACCATTTTTTTGTGAGTTAGATCAGAATGCATTGATTAAAAAAAATTCCAATAGTACATGAACGCCCCAGTTGTCTGCGGTGAATCGTATTTTTATACTTAACACAGACGCTTCTCCATAACATGTACGAACAAACCACGCTAAAATTTGCTGGCTGATCTTTTGCTGACAATAGAAGGCAAACGATAAATTACCAGGCTACTTACTAAATCTGTTGTCTCACCAAATATAAAATCAGCTGAAAGCATATCACAGATTATTTGTTATATACTTGTTTTGTTGGTAATTCTATATGCTTTTACACTAGTGATACTTCTTAAATGTGTGTTTACCAATTTCGATGGGAATGCATATTTGCCTCCTGAACGCATCAGAAGTTTAGGTAATTCAGTGGTTCAAGCCTGATCCTTGCGTTCAAAAAGGAATACATCGAATCTGTAATTTTACCTTTGTCATAAGCTCCCTAAGACATTTTGTTCACGTCGTTATTCATTATTTGTTTATTTATTGTAATCTTATAGGCAGTTCTTGATGGCCTTGAGTTGACATTCTAGCCATCACCTTGCGGCTTTATTGATCTTTTTTGATGTCTTTGTATTGACTCATTAGCTACTGATGGACATACTTATCTTTGTAACTATAATTACAATTTTACAGCTTTTGAAAATGATCCGCCTAAAACATTGTCTTTGCTGAATTATCTTTTGTTAACTTCTCATTACTTGGAAACATTATCTTTTTTAAATAGAATTATTATCAAAGCCTAAACGCAACTTTATGCAGTGAGTGAACAAATCGTTCTTCATGATTATAAGTTGATATTCACTTTTACCGATGGAATGTTCTGCTGTTGTTTTTTTGATTGATGTCTCTTCCATTACCTTTTTTTTACGAATTTGCACAAAAATGACGGCTGTAATCTAGTTCTGAACTACTATGGATGAGCTATTGAACCATTCATTCAGTGAACATTTTCTCATTTGGCTACCGATAAGAAGAGTTGGATGGATATCACTCCATTGTTCATTGGTTGGCAATCAGTGTCACTATGATAACCAGTGAACGTACAAATGTTTCAGTGTTTTCATGATAATCTGTACTTCCTCGGGCATACTTTCCCACTAGAGATTGTGATAAGCTCTAAGTATTTACTATTTGATTATGTGAAATGCACTCAATTGGAAGAAATATTGAACATATCTTTCGAATTATTTCAGAAGACATTCCACTTAAGGCCTATTTGGTTGCATAACTGTACAGCTCAGTTCAAGAGTACTGTATACGTCTCTTACTTATTCCCCTATGATATATAGGTCCCAAATACCTGACTGTTGAAGATAAGCAGTTATTGTTTACAAGGCCATTTTGCTGATTGGTATAAGTTACTTTAACTTTTGAATGATAGCTTGATAGGAGAGCACAACTTACTTGTTCATATCTGTGACTCATAACGTTAATAACCAAAAAAAGAATTGTGAGCATCAGCGTTTGTCTTTGATTTTACGGAGTTTTGTGGGAGGGCTGATCAAGTGACCAATCCACTGGTAAATTGTGTATATGTAAATCTTTAATTGCATACATGTTGAATCACGTTGTAGTCAGTGTTAAAATTGAATTTTAAAAAATCACGTAGTGAAAAAAACTACCTGACTTATAGTAAGGGTAGTAGCTGCTTGAACAGCAGCTGATTATGCATACCAGTAGATAAAGAGATAACAATCAACATTTTATCTAATGTCTGTAATCAGAAATTGATGACGATTACAGGTGCGCTCTCTGATGATTCAAAAAATCTCAACAATAACCCATGCTAAACTATTATTTACTTTGCGAATGGTCTGCAGAAAATCCCTTCAGTTGTCCCACTAATCCTAAACACCTCGTAGAATTATGCATGAAGTATACTGGGTGATCTCTGCAACTGAAGAGCTACAAAGAGTGTGTTTATAACTTGTATTAAATAACAGTTTCCAGAAACACCTGTATGATACCTGCAAACAGATGTTTCGAACACTTTATTAGTAACCCCAAAAATTCTGATTGAAGAGAATTTCATGATAAGGAATATTTTACGGCTCTTTCACTATAGCACCTGGTTCACTGCTTAGCTAACGAACATGGAGTAAACTGAGGTATTTTAATCATTTCTGTCAATAAAAGGTCTAGGAGTTTATTGTATGAGGTTGGACAGTATACTTGCTCCATTATATAATCAAATAAAGAGCTGAAACTTAAAATATATCGATGACAAGTAAATTAGAAGCTGTGTTTAAGTTCTTAACATATGTCAGACTTTAATTTTTTACCGGAACCGAAACTTGATGGTGCCCCCTTGAATGCCTGGCACTCACATGGATAACTTATGTAACAGAATCTAAGAACTCTAAAGCAAGATAACTGGAAAGGGTAAACAACGAAAAGTAATTCAGGTGGATAGTTCGATTAAGGTTATCCGTTTCAAACTGATACGATCTGGGATGGACAAGTTTAAGGGAGTGGGTACTGTAGTTTGTCTTCTAAGAACTGTGCACCGTAGACATTCGAAAAAGGCTACTCTCCTTTACACTGAAGACGTTACAGTTTAAAAAAATAATATCTGTGCTTTATAGAAGGTTTAGAAACCGATTTCAGAAAATGACTAACGAGAAAATTCAGGTCAGTAAAGCAAGTGACTAGCTTAAACCTGGTCAGGATCTGTAACACAAATTAACAATGTCTCTAATATCAGTTCCTAGCTAAAAACGTAATTAAGCTATGAATGTACATTGACGTGTCCTAAACTGACGTGAAACACTTGTTTCAATGGCTTTTGGAATTTCAATATCTAAGCAAGATGCCAAAGTCATTGTCAAGAATAATTTAAATCATATCTTCTAGAATGCTGATCAGAAGTGTGCTCATTAAAAGATTAATGCTAGAAAACTCACTCGGCACTTATTCGTTGACCATCGTGTTGAAGATCCCAGCGAAGCAGAAAGGCAAGATGTTAAAAACCAGCGTGAAAGCGCTGTGTTATTTATTTGATCTCTATGTGGATAAGGAATTCGTGGAGGATTTGCTTCAGTGTAAGCATTTATCTCCTGTTTATTCAACTGACGAAAACCAATGTAAACTGTTTGAGCTACAGACTTTTGTAGCGTTTGAATACTTTCCTTGTAGTGATACGAAGATCGTAGCTTCATTAGTTGCCGGTTATCCAACAAAAATGTGTATCCATAATTTGAATCACTTGGGTTTGTACTCATGCTGACTGTGAAAACAACGTAGAATGAAAGTATTTATCTTACTGATGACAAAACTGAGAGAGGCTTCTACGATAAATGTTGAAAGAAAAGGCCATCATAATATTTTGCGCAATGTTTCATTTTTTTGAGGTTGACTATTCTCCACCCTATCAGAAAGCTTTTCGTTATGGTGTAAAATAAGATTACCAAAATCTTCATTAGTGACCATAAACCGTTAAAGCCATTTTCAACCAATCGGTTTGCTTCGAAATTCCGGGAACAAACACGTGAACCAACGTGTAGAATGGAATTTAAATCTAGTAGGCCTGGAAATATTCAAGGCTATTGTAATATATATAAACCCTGTATTTTGTATATATTGTGGACGTTGCGGTTACAAAATATACCTTCTGTTCTAGTACCACCTTTTCTATTTTCAGGGAAACTGAGTGACCACTGAGGGTGGAATCTGAAGGTATTTGTACAGGCCTTCTCATATATAGTAGTCCGCGTACATATAACTCAAGCTATATGAAGTCACTAGTAAAGATCTAAAAAGCTGGCGACTGGAGCTACAAAACTTCTCAACACTAGTTCTGATACTGAACACATATTACTGTTAGTTATTATTAGCTGAAACGTTAGTAGAAAGCGGAATGTAAGCCTTGGTTTTTCGGAAATACCAAATATGTTCACATAACGTTAAGTGAAAGGGAGGAACAGGACTGACTTTCAAGTGACATGAGAACAAACAACAATTACTTAACTTACTATCAAACTTTACTTTCATCTGCAAGCACAGATGTGTTGGGTAAATTTAACTCTCTGGCTGTTAGTCTTTTCAATCTGCAATGCAGTCAGGTGAGTAAAAATGTGAGTCTAGCAATTGTTAAGGTCAGTCATTACGGAAAACTAAACTCTAGGTACTTGAACATAGAAGGCTGGTTGCTCCGGGCTTCTATTCGTCAAACTGGAAGATCTTGGTTAGGTTGTATATACTCTCAATTTCGGATTAATATCAAACCAGTGGTTTTTTCTGAACTCTAAACTATTTAATAGCTTTCTGCTCAAGCTGTATACTTGAACCACAGGATATGTGGCATCAACTTGCTACTCCTTTTGTCAGTCTTAACTACTCAGCATATCCTCTATCATGTTATTCACTCCTGAGCATTTTTGAAATCTCCATCTATCGCTTTACAAGTTGAAGGGTGAAATTGCAGGACTGTATCGTTCTTGAGAAACTTTGAAATGACCTTGAACGCATAAATAAGACAACGGGAATTTCGTAATAGAGAAATGAAAGAAAATTACAACGTACGCAATTTTTCAACGAGTTTCCGACAGCTTCTTACCTGATACAGTCAAAGTACGTACAAAATGGATGAGAATAAACTTTCTAGTGATCCCATATTAGCTCTAAATTATTTGTATGAATCCTTGTAGAAGGATTTACGAATTACTTTTTGAGAATTGAAATTCAGCATCAACGTCATGAAGCTGAATATAGCTTGTAAACCTATAGACTTCAAATTGCAAACCGCAAAGTTAAGGCATACAGCAGCAAACAAGCAGGACCCACTCGCTGTTGATAACTGCTCAGTTGTTCAATGGGTACTGTGAATTTGAAATTATGTGCTAGGGTTTGAAATGTTTTCAGTAATTCAGAGCGTTTCAATCTAATCCCACAGTTGCACTCAACGTAAATGGTAACTTTAAAGTTAGTTGATAGTCGCTCGACAACGGGAAATTCCCATAGGTCTACGGTTCAAGGTAAATTTAAGAAAAAGCACGGTGGTTTGCAGTAGTATTTAAACCCTCCAAAGGGTTCAAATTAAGATTTCTGTAATGCTTATCACGAACTATCGACCTTTGCCAATAAAGTTAACTGATCACCTCTAGTCACTGTTATCTAAAGATACCAATCATAATTCGAGTGTCTTAAGGCCACAAAAACTGGATTCCCAATTGGTGTGACGATAATATGGTCTTTTTCAAATGTTTTACAATACTTTGCTAAGAATGATTCATTTCCGAGAAGAAGTGTGGCTGAGGTAGACCTACATTTGTGGACATCAATTGATCACTCCCCAAAACGTAAACTTCAGCTTCTTCAGTGACAGTATTGACGTCATCACTAATAAATCCCGTCCCAACTATTTAGATGACAACTATTTAGATATTTACGTCATTCTTGACCGTAGTTTCGCAAATTTGTCTATTTTCAAATTAGGTGTTTGTAGGGATTTATTGATTTCAAGCTGGTATTCAGTTGGTGAACCATTGAAAACCTGGGAGCACTAGATATTTATTTCATTCTGGTAAGGGACTTTTCAGCAGCCTGCAACCAAGACCTCATGAGGGGTTTTCGTAGTCTGTGTAATTTTTCACACATGTAACCGTAGTCCCTTTTTGTCAGTACATAGGGAGAATCATGTCACATTTGCTACTCATCTGGACAGTAACCTAGATTTAGTATGCATAAATGATTGTGGTATATATGAAGCCAGCAAATGACCTCCATCACCAGATTCTGATCACTGTATCATACATTTCGTGACTGAAGTTTATGATCGGTTACATAAGTGGCCTTTGCATACATTCCCAAAAAAGTCCATTCCATGCTATTCCCGTGAAAGCATACTGCTTCTGAAAAGTGTATTACAAAAGTCAGACTGTGATGTATTCATCAATTTATCGCTAGGCAACACTATTAGTAATATCACGAGCTATTTCAGATTCTTTCTTGACACTTGCTACCCTGATGAAACACTTTACATAAAATCTGACAGACTTTTTTCACCACATCTCAAGAAGCTCCGAAGAGAAACATATTATATAAGGTAAAGGATAGCCCTGGCGTCAACAGGCTTAGCTGTTTCATAAAGTTTGATGTACAACATCTAAATACAGTACACAACCAGAAGTTTTTATCTTGTAAGAATTCTCACAATATATATACATTATTTAAAGAACTTACTGGTGAAAAACATATAACTGATGAGTCTTGTTGCGATATCTCCATTTTGAACCAGTTATTTGTGTCAGTAAACTGAAGTCATCCTATCCATTGTCGACATCTAAATGGATAACTGGTTTTCTGGTTTCATTATAAATGGTGTTTCCAAATGTCTGAAACCCTTGAATCTATCCCAAATACCAGGTTCTGATGGTGTTTAAAGCATCATGTCTTAAAAAATGTGCCGATATTTTAATTCACCCTCTTACAAGTATTTTTAACATATCCGTTTCAAAAAATACAGTAATTACCATTTATGAGGATACTGAAATTGTACCTATGGACAAGTCATATTCACTGAATGTTAATTTTAAGCCTGATGTTATTGCTTTTCCTTTTAAAAACAATTGACAATACAACTTTTACTACTCTTGAACCTTCAGAGAAGTTTTTTATTGATCCAAATTAATTGGTCTACACATTCAGGAGGAATACGTTCGATGCTTCAGTTGTCTTACACCCAAATGTTGTTTCCAGCCTCAACAAAGGTGTAACATGCTTGTTGTACCTTTTAGATTATCTGTCAGAATCTGATTTAATCCCTAGGCAATTTTTGTCAAATAAGCTTGCCAGGGCACATTCTGAGCACTGGGTCACAAACAAGTTACATTATTATTTCACCGAAAGGATGCAGTATATTATTTATGGAACGAGGTACTCCTCTTCATTGCCGACTGAAGCCAAATGCCTAAATATGATGTCCTTATCCATTTCTATCTTGCTTCTTATTCTATGACTTATTATATTCTGCTAAAACTAGTCTTTTTAAATGTGCTGACGATTAAACAGTTTCTGTACCAGTTGTTTCTCGGGTAGATTTTTCTCAAATGAATAATTTCTTATTTGAAATTGATCCGTGACCTTTGCCAAACGGTCTTAGGCCATATGCTTATGAACATCATATGGTTAATCTTAGTCTAGAACGTCAACGAGATATGAGTGAACCGCTCCACTCTATTGACTCTTTTAATATCGACGGTACCACTGTAGAAAAAAATCAAATGCTAACTGTAGTGGACTAGGTTTTTCTTCTAATCTTTGTTGGTCATCTCATACCTTGTTGACTTCAAGAAAATCTTCCGGTTAACGTATTGCATAAAGAACCCAAGATTATTGGGCGCAACTCAACCTCTACTTTTGCAAATGATTAATTCCTTTATTTTACGTATTATTCCTTATTCTTTCTTGGGTTGCTGAATGAAGACTACAAAACATTGCGTAGGTTTTCGAAGAGTTTCGGTAGGGTTAGTGGTGTACTTCTGACCGAACTGATTGACAGTATAATCAAAAGATATCTGAGTTTCTGCGGTCAAGTAGCTACAGACGCTTAGTTGTCGCTTCATTTATAAGCTTCTAGTTGAATCTGCACAAAGCCTACAAGAAGCAGTTTTATAAAACTTTATGCTCATACTGCTGAATACAAAACTCAATTGAACCTTGTTTAGCCTTCATCTTATTTGAAACAAACTAGATCTGAACATTTTCATCAATTCCTAGCAGCCAATAAACAGCTCTTACATTCTTGTAACTATTCATGTACCATTATCTTCATCACTATCATAAATTACGTAATTTAACTACTAAACTATTTCTGTTGTGAATGTTGCAAAAGGGTCAATTTTGGTGGCTGAGAATTCTAAACTGTACTAAAATTATTTTCAATAAGGAAGTGGGTCATCTTTCTTCTCACCGTTTCAAAGTGGTACTCAACAACAAGAGAAGTAAAATTAAAACCATTATAGTGGTGTAGGCACTACATCGTTTCACACAGCAGACTAGTATCAAATTTCGTGTTCAACTTCTGAAATGATTCAGAGGTAAGGACCTACTCTCTTGCTAAATATGCTGGGATAAAGATGAACAATACAGTACTCAGTATTTCACAGATATTCATCTATATAAGGGAATGATGAAAAGGATTTAATGTAATCAATGTACAGAGGGATGGAAAACCACTTTATTTTTCATACTTGTTTGCTAATAATACTCACTCAATACACCT